TTATTCCGCAACACCCCACACGCGTCGGGAATTACGGCGAATCGTTTATATTGGAGTGAGGTCAATTAAGGTCATGATAATCCGGGGGAATTATGAATGTTTATGAGCGAGAACATTCGCCGACTTCAGTTTTGAACGAACAAGGATATCTTGAATGTTGCAGAAAACTATTTTCGAAAAATAGAAAACGATGAGTCAAGCAAAACAGTGGCTATATCGGCTATATTGAAGAGGGTCATTCTAACAAAACTAACTACTACCATTTGAAAATAAACCCCCACCAAAATACCATTACAGGAAAATGTCTTCATTTGTCTAGCTCACACTCTGCCCCTTCGCCCTCCTCATTCCTTTCACCAGAGTACCGTACTATTTTTTTGCCTTGCTTTCGATCACTTTAAGGGCCATCCATCCACAAGATACCATCCAGTTCCCCCAAAATTAACGCCCCGCTTCATTTCTGCAACTCCATGCCTTACGGAAAAAAATACCATATCCACTTCCAGGTGTCATGGATTTTTCGGTGGCTTGGTTCGGCCAGTTCTTTTCTTCTGATGGGTCCAAACAATTGTAACTGTTTAGGGCATCACATTCAGTCACACCAAATTTTCTGGTACTCTCCCTTCTTCACCCCCCCCCGTCCTCCTACAAAAGCCTTGTTGGCAAGTGTAATGGGTCAACATTTAAACAAGGCCTCCACGACTGCAGCAAACTATCTTTATCTACCTCGTTACGTCGAATTCTCTGTTCAGATGCTGCTAACTAACTGTGTGATTTTTTTCTTAAGCTTGAATTTTTCTCTACATTATACGAATGAAATGAAAATGAAATGCTCACCGGCCGGTTGTGCTTGCTGAGCTTGAACTTGCATTGCGAAAAGCTGTTGATGTTGTGCTTGAGCTTGAGCCTGTGCTTGGGCCTGGGCTAACTGAGCGTGTTGGAGCTGAGCCTGTTGAAACTGGGCGATGGTCTCAAGGTTCTGAGTTTGAAGTGGGTTTTGATGAAGTAGTGCGGCTGAAAACAACATTATCCTATAAGATGGAGTGTTCATCGTGAAACATGGACATTTCATGCCCCTTTGATGCAAATCGTCAAATGCACCGGCACCTCGCTTGCTAAGCTGGTCGGAAGTGTTAAAGCAAACGAAAATGTTGAAGTGATTACGTTGTTAAGGATACTAAGGCTAATTGTTGAGTACCTTGGCACCATCATACTCGCCACAACAGACCCATAGCACTGAACGACAAACGAAAGAAGATGTAAGAATGGAAACTTAACCATTCTACACATGCATTATAGGGACGTGAGGAAAATCAGCGACAACAAGATCAAGTAGGGTGCAAGAGACACCTTCAACGACTTGATCCTTACACCAAGCGCACCACATTTACGCCACGGTGAAGCCCTCCAGAACCACGATCAAACTGATACCGCCCCAATGAGCTGAGCTACTTAGATAGTTACTGCAAAATTTTCGGGTTCTGGAGGACGTTGCAACACGACGATGGAACTGAGCAGAGTCACAGCAGCATTCACCACGATTCAATTACCTAGCTGAGCCTTGCTCGCAGCGCTCTGCCCGTTCTGCACTAGAGCAGACACACTGCCGCTAGTAGCAACGCCAGTGTTCACTGCCCCGGAACCCCCTTCCGTGAGTTTACCCAACGCCGAAAGCACTAAAACTATCAGTTAGATACTATGGTACAAGATCTCTCTTCAGAAATGCGATTGTAATGCTTACCTCCACCGAGGACACCCAGCAGGTTATGCTGTTGCGCCTGCACACCAGGATTGAACAGTGCAGCCAAAGCACTCAGAGCTTGTAGATTGACGCCACCACCGGTCAGCTGAAAAGTATTCGAATGTTGTCGCCAGATAGCCTGTGCAGCTAATGGTAAGCTGACCAAGACGAAAATACTACTTTAGGCCGGACGCATAGTCGGTCGGACGACAGCAACGACTGCTGCTGTCGGACGACAGCAACGACTGCAGGTGTCGCATAAACCGCGGTCGCAAATGGAAGGCGACGCGGTCACCCAATGCAAACCCAGACAACACGTGACTGCGCGTGATCGTATTTCGAAAGTCCCACTGTAGTGTGGAATAGTAACTGCGTATTGATCTGCGACACTTGCAGTCGTTGCTGTCGTCCGACAGCAGCGGTCGCAGATCGATACGCACCCGATGCTGTGCGACACTTGCAGTCGTTGCTGTCGTCCGACCGACTATGCGTCCGGCCTTTGGTTATGTTGACGCACATAAGACGACACGCGAGGGATATATATCCGGCGTTGGCGGCGCATGTAAATGGATATACAGGGGGGGGGGCAATAAAAAAAGACATTTTGTCTCCAGACTCAAATGGATTTAATCACACTTTGCTCAGCTCAAAGCGTGTGCTCCCAACTTAGAATTGAAGAGCGCATTTCATTTCATAAGAAAATCTTCATAGTGGCCATCTACGTGGACGGCATCAGAAAAATTTGCCCGGAAACATGGTGCTCTGGTCGAGCTCATGGGGTTCTCGACTGATCGTGTACCGTTACGACGGGTTCCGAAGGCGGGTTCCGAGGGGGTTTGCATAGTTAGAGCTAATGTCCCTAGGAAACTATCCCACGTTGAATCGATCCAAGAAATTATGTAAGAGCTTCAGGATGAAGCAGTTACTGTAGGCCTCCCTGAGCTCGACGACGGTGACAGATGACGTCATATTCTGAAGACGGTGAGGGTAGTGAAGGAGGGCCTGCGTGTACTTATAGAGGGACATTTAGGGAATATTTTGCTGAGGAACTTCCGTCAGCGACGGCAATCTCTGCGAAGAAAAAAAGGCCGAAGTGCGACCTGGGCAAAATGTCTTTTTTTTCCCTCCTGTAATAGTTCCCGCAGCCTGTAATTCGTTACAATTAACATTCTTTTTTCGCGCACGCCTGATTCTTTTAGAAGTTTCTTGTATTTATTCCATGGAAGAGACCTTGACGTAGCTACAAACATAGTGGCCCATAGAATGGTCACGTATGCTTTAATTTAGAGGAGGATTTCTGAACCATACGAAATCTTCAGTTTCAATAAATTTTTCGTTTACTTTTTCTTTTTATGAATGTGAAGATTTAAATAGTAGTAGAAGTAGATACGGAACCTTAGGGATGACAATATGTGTGTTTTGATTGGAAATAATCAACGTAAAATTGCTTTTGAGGTCCATTGCAGCTAGTTCTGAAAATTTCGCTTTTTCATTGTTATTCCATGTCTTTCGATCGAAATTCCACTACTGTACCCCTGGGTAGGTTGTGCTCATTACAATTTACTGATCTGGTTTTGTATTGATCATTATTTATGTATTTATCACTCAAAATCTGCTTGAACGACCTGAGGCGGCCGCGCCCGCAAAATCGCCCCGGTCCCACGTGGCCAAAAAAGCCAAAACTCGCGTTGTCGTCAACGTGTTAATAATATTTGATTAGGGAATATGGTATTTTAATAAGATTTGATTAGGGAAGGTAACAAACAAGCGCAAAAGCGAATGGTTGCCATCTTGTTTCATGCTCACCTATAAAAGAAAACGAGTGTTTCAAAAATTTTAAGAGAGACTACCAAAGTTTCAACAAGAGCATGGGGAATACGAAGACCTAAAAAGAAAGAAAACGTTTAGATGTGTTAACACATTGCGTACCGCGTGCGCCACCATGTGGCGCACGATTTCAAGCGAAAGATCATAGTTTTATCTGATTTATTTGGCATTTTTCAATGCTCCTGAAGTGTTTGCACTCATTTTCAGAGCCAGGAAACATAAGTATCATCACTGATAAAATTGTTGATAGATTAATGATTCATTTTCTAAAAACATAAAAAAGGTATGGAGGTCCTCGTATAACGGCGGTCCGCAATGTGTTAAATTTAATCGAAGTGTTAAATTTTTCATCTAATCTGAGCTAAGTAACTTATGAAGAAGGTGCAAAATATCCAGATTTTTCAAAGCGATAGAGGAGCAAACTTTTCGGTTAAATGTAGAAGAAATAAACTGCGCCGCATGTAGCTCGGATTCAAATCCCCACAAGCTACAGAAAATTGTGAAAAGTAAGTACCTGCTGCAATAAAGCGGCCTGATTGCCTAACGATGCTAAGCCGGAAGCAGCCGACGTTATGCTCCCAGCGGCAGCAGGCAGTTTCTTCACTTCCTTCTCTCGTTGAGTGTCAGCGAACTTCACAACCAATGGGGCCGAACACCCCTGAAAAATACCTGGTCTTAATTGTGCCATGAGCACAGCAGAAGAGTATGGAACAATGCAGATAAGCAGAATAGTTATGCTCTCGGGAAGAAATACCGCAGAGCCCCAATCCAGGTTGCGCATCCGAACACATTCATGAAGCATTGAGCATAAATTTACAATCACTTCCACAAAAAATTACTTAACTATAGAAACTAGGAACACATCAGTTTTTAGAAGATGACTTTGGCACTATCCTTCTTATGAGATTAACATACGTAATAAGTATGATTGTGGAGAAAAATCCACTCAAAAGTCACTGGAGTCCGTGCCGGACGGCGAACGTATTACCTTTTTTGGTTCTTTTGCTGCAACAACATTCGCTGATTCCATCCGCACGCTGCCCTCCCCTCACACCCAAATTCTTGCCCTCTTTGTTCCTCAATCTTCTCGACACTAGCCATTAACATCGACCATTCATACAACCTTTCTCGGACAGTTTCGTAACTGCTCTATGCATTTCTAATGTCGTCTCAAAAATCGGCGTTCATGTCGTTAGGGGGACATTCAAAAGAGTGAGCCATTTACAGTACTTGGAACTAACAATGGGGATCTTTCAGGGCAAGCCGCGCTTTTTCAAAACGGTTTCTCGCACATTGCAGGGACTAATGTAGAGAGCACAAAATCATGTTTCATTTTCGCTTCACGGTTTTAGCAGTACAGTGCAAGGCACTGCCAATGGTTGGATCCCGTGGCGACCAAATTTTGCTGGGTTTTCGCGCACGTCTTGGGGCCGAATGGTGCTAAATGTCAGAATCAAATGTCACATTCATGGTTAGGACCATACTGAAGACAAAAGTAGCCGCCATCCTTGAATGCAAAAATTTAGTCGCCACAGGGAATCGAACAATTGAGAATAACATTCTCTAATTTTTTCGGTACTATTAAGACCGTTCAGCGAAAACGAAACATGATTTCAGGGTCCATACATGCGTCCCCACAATATGCAGAGAGCCGTTCCAAAAAAGCGTGGCTTGCTCTGAAAAATCCTCCTTGTAAGCCTTAGGGAGGGGAAGGGACCCTGAGAGAGGATGTGAACAATGTTTGTTTTCCTTGGCATTCCCCCTTCTCCTGGCTTAGTACCAGTGTAACCTGATCGCAGATTTCGAAGGCCTATCATGAAAATGTCTTCCCGCCCCCCCTCCTCCTTCCCCGAATTGTCGCGACTTGGAAGTGTGCGACAATTCAACAAATGTCTTCGGTTGTCCGTTGCCATTCCAATGATACATACGTCGCGTCCGCGCCCTCTCGCACACGATGCGCTCTCTCGCGTTTTTCCTCGCGAAGCATCGCTGTGCCTCTCCATCGTACTACGGTCACCCCCACTAAAAAATTTCAATGTTACTATGATGCTTTTTGCTTTTTTTCTTCACTAGCATCCCTTTTCGCTCTTCTTGCATGATCTTCTAACGAAGTAGCACATTAATTCGATCGCGACCCGTGCCTTTGAACAATGGAAAAAGTAGTTCTTAAGGCAGGATGGAAATATTCTGCGGACTTCAAAGAAACTTCGAGAACAACGTTTTTGTCGGAACAATTATGCAACATAATAATTATCCTTTCCTCCGGCTCCTTTGTCTTCCTTTGACCGGGAAAACCTTACTTTTACTAAACATTTTCGTGCAAAGGAGCAATTATCGGCATTCACAAATCATACAGTTGCTCCGTCCTGCACCCCCCCCCTCTTTGCTCAAGACGCAGTAGTGGAGTTGTCAGCGTGCCAAGTGGTACCACATAGTGCTAAAGAAGCAGCCAGGATAAATGAGAGAGGTCATTTGTCGGTCAGACATCACGGGTATCCCTCACTTTAGCCGCCGCTGTACAAGATTCTACCAAGCCACACAACATGAAAACATCAATTTCAATGCGCGGATACGTTTTCAAGAAAGGAAGTCACAAGCCCACATCCAGAAATTTACAATTAACAAGAGTAACCCTGAACGCAGACAAAAACGTGAACATGCACACCCATACAAACCTCACACATTGCGCGGTCACATCATTGATAGTTTCTGTGAATGAAAATGAAAATAAGAAAATAGTAACGTGGACACACAAACGAAGGCTGGGACAGTGATCTCTGACGATCGCAAAATTGGCACATAAGCTATGAAACATATACGGAATAGTATAGTGTATATCCCAGATAGGAGGAACTTATTGTAGAGGGCGATAAAGGAACCGAAACGCTACCTCCATCGTAGTCGAATGATGCATATCTTTGATAGCTGCCAGCGCACTGGTGCGATTCGTATACGTAACGAACGCGCATCCTGCAAAAGACACCAAGCTCACAAAACGGACACATAAATTGACTAATAGAACAGAGCACAGGACTTTCTCAACATTTCTATGCATAAATAGTCTTCCTTTTCTTAGGAGACATAACGCAACATGTTAGTGAAGCCGAATCAGTTTCATAAATGAACAAGACAGAAATTTGATTGTGGGGGCAACTCGTTGACATTCTGCAATACCAAGTCATTTGGCGTACGGGTGGAATCACTTATACCACGACGCCTTCCTCAAAGGTAGATCCTCGTGACGTGACGATGAAGGGGGACACTCACCAATGAGGGAGGTCTAGTGGTCTAACCAGAGAAGGATGACGGTTCAAAGTGGCCATATGCAGTGAGACCTACACTGATGATGTGTTTTTGGACGCTGATCTCGAATCTGCTTTCCAAATCTGCCAACGATTTTCTGAACGGAGTTATGAAGCAAAGTAGTGCAGCGGTAGTGGTCCGGGCTCACGGGCGAGAGGTCGTAGGATCGATTCCCTGACGGGTTCTTCCTTTTGCCTTCAAGGCAACATGGCTGAAAAAAGCTCCAAAGCACAATAACTTGCCTATAATTACCCGTACAAAGAATGAGCGAGG